AGCTCAGGTCATAATCTTGGGGTTCTAGGATAGAGCTCCATGTTGGTTTCCCTATTCAGTGGGGAGTCTGCTTCTCCTTCTCTCTCTGCCCCTTCCTCCACTTGTGCTCTCTCTTAAAAAAGTAAATAAATAAATGTAATCTTAAAAAAATTGGCAAAAGAAGATGCACAATTTGGGGCACCTGGGTGGCTTAGTCCACTGGGCCTTAGACTCTTGGTTTTGACCCAGACCATGATCTTAGGGTCCTGGGATTGAGCTGCAGTGGGGCTCCACATTCAGCACGGAGTCTGCTTGAGCTTCTCTCCTTCTGACCCTTCCCACTCTTGAATACATGCTCTCTCTCCCTCTCTCTCTCAAATAAATAAAGTCTTAAGAAAAGATATACAGTTGGCCAAAAGTATGTAAAAAAGATGTGTGAAAAAAAAAAAGATGTGTGATATCACTAATCATTAAGGAAATGCAAATTAAAACTACAATGAAATACCACTTCACATTCATTAGGATGGCTGAATATATATAAATATAATTCAATATATATTAATAAATAGAAATATATAAATACATCAGAATATAAATACATTCTGATATATAAATTAAGAAGTATTGGTGGAGATGTGGAGAAATTGGGACACTTGTGCATTTATGGCAGGAACATAAAATGGTATAGTCACTGTGAAAAATGTTATGGCAGCTCATCAAAAATTTAAACATATGTGGTTGAGCATCTGCCTTCGGTTCAGGGTGTGATCCTGGGATCCAGGATCGAATCCCACATGGGGCTCCTTGCGGGGAGCCTGCTTTCCCTCTGCCTGGGTCTCTCCCTCTCTCTCTCTGTCTGTGTCTCTTATGAATAAATAAATAAAATCTTTAAAAAATTTTAAACATAGAATTACCATACTATCCAGCAAGTCCTACTTCTAGATATATACTCAGAAAAAATTAAATATAGGGACAGGGACTCAAACAGAGTTTTGTACACTCATATTAATAGCATCCTTATTCACAATAGCCAAGAATTGGAAGCAAATCAATGCCTGGCAATGGATACATAGATAGATAAAATGTATTCTGTACATACAATGGAATATTATTCAGCCTTAAAAACAAGGCAATCTAAATACATACTACAACATGAACGAACCTTGAGGACATTGTGCCAAGTGAAATAAGCCTGTCACAAAAAGACAAGTACTGAATAATTACATTTACATAAAATACCTAAAGTAGTCAAATTCATAGAGACAAAATATAGAATGGTGGTTGCCAGCAGCCAGGGAGAGAAAGATATAGGGAATTCTTTAAAGGGTATAGTTTCAATCAGGGAAGATGAAAGAGCTCTGCAGATAGATGGTAGTGATGGTTGGTGGTTAAGTAACATGAATGTACTTAATGCCACATTCAAAAATGGTTGAAATGGCAAATTTCATGTTACCATATTTTATTGCAATAAAAAATAACAAATAAAAATATCTTAGACTAGAATGTCTCCAGATAGCACCTTCAGTCACCGAATGCTTAAGTTAACACCTCTTCCTTTCACTGTGGCCAATAGAGCTGCCTTGACAGTTGCATGGAAAGATTTTATCTTTAAAAGCATCTTTAACTCCCTAATGCTGCTGGAGATCATAAATACAATGTCTACGTCACATACAAGCCCACACTAAGTTGTATTTTTATAATTTTATTGCCAATTATTGCCAGTACCTAAATATTTTCTTTTTATCTATTTTGAGTTGTCATAGTTCATGTATATTAACAAGATAAATGTTTTGCCACATAGATAGCAAAGTTAGTAAATGACCATTTGATTGATGGAATTAATTCAGGAGCAAAGTATCCCGAAGCAGTCTGATCTACATTTCTCTTTCTTTCTTTCTTTTTCTTTCTTTCTTCTTTCTTTTCTTTCTTTCTCTCTTTCTTTCTTTCTTTCTTCTTTCTTTCTTTCTTTCTTTCTTTCTTTCTTTCTTCTTTCTTTCTTTCTCTCTCTCTTTCTTTCACAAGAGAGCAAGCACAAGCAGAAGGAGTGGGAGAAGAAGAAGCAGACTCCCCGATGAGCAGGGAGCCCAGCAGACAGGCTCCTGAGAGCCTGAGATTAGGACCCAAACCCAAGGCAGACACTTAACTGAGCCACCCAGGTGTCCTTCTCTTTCTCAATTTAAACATCCCAGATTTATTTAAGTCATGTATATTGATCTCCTTACCTAAAATAATCATCTTCCTTCATTCTACCTCCTTGAATTCTACTCAGTCTTTAGGGCCTATCTAATGGCAAATTATTTTACAAAAAATTTCCTGACAATCCTAGTCCACATTCATCTTCCTAACTTCTAGTCTCTATTTAGTTATTTAGTGCTTAGTAACAAATATCTTGCGTTATTTGCTATCTTTTGTGTTTTAGAACCAACTGAAGTGTACTGAAAAATTAGCAACTGCGGGAGTCTGGGTAGCCCAGTCTGTTGAGTGTCTGACTCTTGGTTTTAGCTCAGGTCGTGATCTCAGGGTCCTGAGACTGAGCCCTGTGTCCCACTGTGTAACTTAGTGCAGAGTCTGCTTGAGATTCTCTTCTCTCTCTCTCTCTCTCCCTCTGCCACTCCCCCCAACTCTCTCATTCTCAATAAATAAATAAATAAATAAATAAATAAATAAATCCTTATTAAAAAAAGATTTTATTTATTTATTCACGAGAGACACACACACAGAGGCAGAGACACAGGCAGAGGGAGAAGCAGGCACCATACAGGGAGCCTGTTGCGGGACTCGATCCAGGGGTCTCCAGGATCACGCCCTGAGCCGAAGGCAGACGCTTAACCACTGAACCACCCAGGCATCCCAATAAAAAAATCTTAAAAAAAAATAGCAATTAGTCCAGCTCGAAAGGATAGCCCAAAATACCAATACAAAATAAATTTGTCAAAACCAAGTTATAAACTTGTTGATTCTCTTTAAAGTCTAATGCAGCTGCATGTGAACAGCAGTTCAAAATTACTACTGATATGAGTTCTTTAATCAGTTAATTCTAAAAACTGGCTTATGGGAAACTGAATTTCCCTTTCTCTTATCCCTAACACACACACACACACACACAACACACAGAACACACATTCTCAACTATACATACTGGCAACAATGTTTCTATAAGTAGCAATTATACAGAAAGAAATTTTGGGTGCCAAGGCAAAACATTTTTTTGAGTACCCACTACCTGCAAAACACTTTGCTAAACCCTGTGAATAAGGAATTCACACCTCTCTCATCATCTTTAGCCCAAATTCAGAGTATATTACATTGGTGGTTAAGGCATGCCTCAGGGCATTGGACCTCTGGGTTAATCCAGGAATTTTTCTCTTGGAGCAGATGTGAAATGAAACTGAGGGGAAAAAAAAAAAAAGTAGGAGAGGAAGTGGAGCACAGTTGTCTTCTCCTGCTTTAAAAAACCATGTATTTAACAAACTGAAGAGGTTCAGCCTTTGTAGTTAAGACTACCTATTACCATGAGTTCAAATTCTTTCTTTTAATATATAAGATTTATTGAAATTTTACTGTTTGAGCAGAACCGAGAAAACTGAATATTATTTCAGGTTTTCAAGCCATAAGGAAAAATAGTGTTTCTAGGTTTTCCATTCAACTAGGAAAATTATAGCTTCATATTTGCAACACTAAAGCTAATGCAGTGTCAGCACCTCCATCAAATTCTGTTGTTCAGCAGTTTATAATTCAAGCAGAAAGTTTCACTCCAAGCCCAAACTTGGCCTACACAATCTCAAAGAAAATGGAGAAAAAGTTATATTGGCTAGTGCTGATTTATAAAAGCAAAAGAGAGGGTGCTTTTACAGAATATTTTGAAAAACAACTTTCAGAATTTGAGAACGTCACTGAGAATTACTGAGCTGACATCCTTCATTCTTAAAGTCATAGATATAACCCCAAATTCCATGACATCATGTCAACATCAGCAGTATCTTAACTACTTTCATGAAATTTTTCACCAGGTGGAATTCCATATCAGATGGAATTACTGTTCTTAGAGGGAAAAAAATGCAGGAGAAAATAAGGACAAAAAAGACTTTGGATATATTTTCCTTTAAGTATGGATTCTTTAGTGCAAAGTCCACACATACAGAAAATGAAAAATATCTTTTTTCTAGTTTTTAACGTACATTGGAATGGCAGGCTGGAATTCTCAGAAGCAACCTTTCTCCATCCAAATGTTAACTTGGATCTAGAAACAACTAAGTGTAGAAGTGGATTCCTAGCAACAGGTGAGAAGAGCTATTGGCTCCCCAATGAACTAAATGTTGGTAGGTGTGATGGGGTGGGGAGCTAGCCTGGTCGGGATGCTGTGCAATTGGAAGTCATGTGGCAGGTTGGTTATAAACTGCCTGATGCTTTTTTGCCACCCTGTGGCTGAATCTAGCAGCCAGTCCCTCAGTACTCCAATCTCTTACAAAACCTGCAAAATATATCAAGTCTTTGATATCGTGGAATCAGGGTATTGCCTAAGAATTTCACCTTTTCCTATCCGCACAAGGCTCACTTGTACTAAATACGTTGATATCTTAGCTGCTCCACCTCTCTTTGCCAATAGTATTCAGTGAATCTCTACTACAGGCCAGGCTACAGATGAATCAAACAGGATTTCTGTCCTTCAGGAGAGATCAAGAGGAAGCGAACAGATCATAAGACAACTCCAGTATAATTTTGGAGTGCATCTGTGCGACTTCACTGAAGAGGACCTTGAGGCGTCAGAGCGACACCAGCTCTGTTCCCCAGCACTCAGCTTTCTCCCTCCTTTGAAATCGCACTGATTCACCCGGCATCCCCTCCCTCCTCTCAACGCCCACTCTCAGCAGATGAGACCCTGGGCCCTCTAGTGGGAGGAGCGACCAGGCCTGGGAGAGCAGAAGCAAGAGGTTCTCGGAAGGGGAGGCGGCGTTGCCTGGAGGGTCTGGCGGGGCTTTGGCCGTGACAGGGTCCGGAGGACCTACAGGGCTCAGGCTCACCTGATTGAAGTGTGCACCGATGAGCGAAGGTTCCCATAGCTTAGAACTGTTGCTCGAAGTCCCGCTTTTCTCTTTCTTGGGTGCCATGCAAAGGACGGGAAGAGCATTGGCGTCTAAACTGTGCTCAGGCCCGGACTAAGCGTCCCCGCTACCATAGTAACCGGAGCCACGCCCAGGTCCTGAACGACTCGGGCTCCCCTCCCCCAAATCTGCTCTGAATCCACTGGCCAACCGTATCCGTCGCCACAGCAACCGAGCTTCTCAGCGCGCGGCTACTCCCAGGCGGGACTTCCAGGCCCCCTGATTAAATTTTACGATTTTCCAGCAGAACAACCGTGCAAGTACGGGAGGTCAGGCCCAGGCTGGCCTGGAGCTCGTCTGCCTACTTCCTTTTACTCGCTTTGCTCCTCTGCTGCTTCTTGGAGCCCATTTGGTCCGACGCATTGTCTGAAAACTCAAAATCCCTGAAATCCCGTCCATGATTTCTACACAATTTTTTTTTTTTCCCCATCCTGGGCAACTTAGAATGGTGAGCTGACTCCCTCCAGAGACATCCCATGCCACTTTCTCATCCATTCTAATCTTCTTTATGTGAAGCCAACTTTATCTCCCGGACCTCCATCCTTTGCTTTGGTCTTGGGTCCTCTTCCCAGGGACTTCCTAAACAGGTCAGTCTGATCACTTCTCCAAGAGGTCCTTCATATAACTGTAGGTGAGATTATGGTCTTTCTGGGTCTCTTCTCTGCCTAATCCGCGCCAATTCCCTCAAACTGTCCTCCACTGGTGAGTAGTCTTTCTTTTTTTCCCCACCCTTCACACTCACCACTACCTAAAGGTGGTCAGACAAAGTCCCCTAAATAGTAATCATAGTAATAATAGTAATGGTGATAACAAGAGCTCCTGTTTCATGATCACTGGCTATATCCTGTGCATAGTTATATCAATTAATTCTTACAACCACCTTTTTTCAAGTCCCACAGTGTGTGCTTGACAGTACCAGGGTTAGAATCCAGGACTGCCCAGGTACCCAATCCAGTGTGCTTAATTAACCTCCTCAGCAACTGTTTTAGGACTGCCAAAATGAGAGATCCCCCTCTTTGAGGTGCTATACTTAATTTTATTTATTTTTTTACTATAGTAATACTAATTTAAGGACAGACAGGGGTAGAACTAAACCAAGGACGCTTTGCTTTTAGTACCTGTAAAATGCAATGTTTAACTATTCCCCTGAACCCTGCACTTGCTGGGAGGTGAGATGCATCAATGATCCCAATGGGCCAGGGATGGCTAAGGTGACCCATATGACCTGCAGCTTGATTTCATTCAGCACAACCTGCCAGCTGACCTTCTACAGGGGAAGGTGTTTTAATGGTTTTTATTGCTTTCTTTGAGGAATAAAATGTATGTGAGGGCCCTAGTGATATCCAGCCACTACTACCTTACTTCACTGGGGGCGAGAGGCAGGTTTAAAGATGCTGCTGTTTCTCAATTCCTATTCATAATTTAAACCAACAAAGGGCAACTTTTTCCGCCCGGCCCAGTTCTTTAATACAGATATTAAAGAGGACGCACAATTTCTAGAAACAGTCTTTTCACAGGAAATTTCCAAAAAATATCAACTTTTTCCCTTCTTGCTGCAATATGTATATTTATCTTCTGGGAGGGACTATATTCATGCAGCCTACTCAGAAATCATATCTGGAAGCCTTCTCTTGTCTGATGCATAGTGAGCCCAGAGGAAACATGCCAGAAAGAGATTTTCCTGAGGGTCTCCAGAGCAACCACCTAGGCTGACACTGGTACATTATCATAGAAATCTCTCCAAAATTTTGTCAGTCATTTAAATTTTCTTTATAAGATGAAAACTGTCTTTGGATTGCAGCTTGAATATAAAGATGAATGGCTTACTGACAAAAAAAATGTAAGTAATCATTGATTACATCATCCTACATTTTTATTATAATTCTTCCCATAGGTTTAAACCGTCTGGGAAAAGGTCTTGCATTTTTATTAGAAAAGCAGTAAAAAGTTTGTTGACCTTCCAGTTAGATTTCATAAAAAAGTTAACTAGATGTTTATGTATGGCATATTATGTTAATAATTTTCTTTCTTCTTGAATGCATATGCATATTTCAAAATAAATCAATATGGATAATCAGTTTGGCCAAATCACTAGTAGATGATTAATAAAATAGGTTGCAGAAAAGAAAGTGAAATGAAGAGGAAAGATGGAATAAGGAGAAAAAAAGTAAAATTAAGTGTTCTTTAAAATTGCAGAGAAAGTGTCACTAGCTTTGTCTTATAAGTGAGGGCTGTCTAACCCCAGTTTTTGCAGCAATAAAGTTTTTGTGACATATATTGTGGCAAAAGCTGATTAGCTGTTCATCAAACATTTCATTCTCTTTCCTCCTACTGTGAGAGTCAGACAACATTTTTCTTATCCTTAGATGGGAACATGTTACTGCATTCTAGCCATGGGACATGAACAGAATGATATATCAGCACATCCAAGCCTCACCCTTAAAAATATCCCCCAAGCATTATTCATGCTCTTTCCCCACTCGGCTTGGATATTGGGGTGACACTGAAAGCCTTGCATTTCTGAATGATTGCTGTGGCACAGAGGTTCCAGAGTCTCCCTTAGCCCTGAACTCCACTCTGCTTTCTCCACCAGATGCATTGCTTGGGACCACTAAGTGAATAAGAAATAGACTTTTATTTTCTTAAGCTGCTGACATGTTGGCATTTGCAATAGCAGCTGGAGTTACCTTAACTACTCTAACATTTTTGATAATTTTCATTTGAGAGTCAGCTTTAGATAAACCTAACAGTAGCCAGCCTTCCCCCACTGGCCTAAGAAAACAAACTTGTGACTTTCAAGTGGGCAGGATGCAGTGCTGGCCACCGTGGGAGGCTAAAAAATCGAATCCTTGCCCTTCCAGAGACTGCAGCTAGAGGTATCCACCCTTTACCTTGCTCTCCACCTGCTCCCACAGTACATTAATTTCACTTCTTTATCAAGTTCATAAATTTCTTACTTTAAAGAAGGTGTTTGCATATGAAAGTAATACAATAAATTAGTCTGCTTATGTCACATATGCCTATGGACATTTTTGCTCATTTTTCAGAAAACGAACCATGACTCTTCACTAACACATCTGTGAACATAAATTATGATTTAGCAAATGATTTGGAGGAATTGAATATTTTAAATGTCAAATATAAAGATTTCAGGATGGAATAATGTACTTCGCTATCACCTTTTTTATAATTTCCTTTGTTAAAAGTCCTAACAAGATTTTGTAGATTTTTTTTATGTAGAAGATTTAAAAAAAAAAAACAAAAAAACGATTTTGAGAATGTGAAATGAAAGCTTCTTGCCTTTTGCCTACTTTTGGCCTATTTCACTATGCTACAGAAAGTGGCACTCTAGATAATTTATGATACAAAAGGGGAAGACATTATACAGTAACCAAATTTATAGGAGGTTTCATCATAGAATTGGTCTGTTTAATTTCAGAAAATAGGTGTGAATGACAATGTTCATAGTTTTAAGAACTGAAAGCCTTTCAGCTAAAAAAGGGACCCTGCCAAGAATAAAAAAAAAAAAAAAAGCATTGCCATCTGTCACACATTTATGCTTCTTTGGTATAATAAATTGTTTCCCCAACTATATATAAGTTGAAACTTTATAAGCATATACTTTACTACATAAATTTTCCCATATGTCAGTGGCTAAAACAAAACTGGACTATTTGGAGGATTTTCTTTCACATGGTAGGGTTACTCCTGGCTTGTCTGATTTAATTTTTTGCATTTAATACTGTTTCATTCACCAAAGACTGTCTAATTTTAGGGATGCGCTGCTTCTTAAGGATACTATGATTACAGAATGTTACTTTTAAAGGTTTTATGCTTCAATTCTAATAGTGTTCAGTGAACTCTTATCTAGGCATGAAGTCTAGGCATTATTTCTCATATCTGAAAGGCTCTAGTCAGCATTTCATGCACCCAGTATTCTTAGTTGTCAGGTAACCACAGGAGCTATGGACCAATTCACTTCTAGGCCAACATTTTACGTATTCAAGGTACATTTAGCTACAAAAATCTGCTTGCCTTTGGCTAAGGAGGCCTCACAGCGTGCACTGATTTCTCAGATTGGCATTCTACATCTAAGAACACTTCTCACAATAGGTTTGTCTTATTTACCGTCATGATCTTTGCACTTCTGACCTTCAAAATACAATGTTGTAATGTACTGTCCTTGAGTTTTTATTGCTGTGATGCAGGGGGCTTGATCTCTTTCAGTTATAAAGTTTCAAAACATATGGAGAATATTACACCTGCATTCAATGGTCAGCATTAGCTTCCTATTCAGTTGTGAGTGCAATTTAAAGTGTTGACTTTAATCTTTAAAGCCCCTCATTGTTTAGAAGCCAGTTACTCCAGATATCACATCTCTCTCTATGCATCATCGTGGCAATTAAAATCAGCTGTAGTGCTTGCAGGTCAGAATCCCCAGTGAATTGTGGGGAGCTCAGGAGTAGATCATTTTCTAAAGAAGAACTTCCCTAAGAACCCTCTGTTTCTGTGAATGATAAAAGTACAATAAACAAAGTTTACAGTTTTGCCCTTGAATGTCTTGTAAACCTATAGGTCTCGGGAATCGTAATTAAGTGATGCGGACTTAATTTTTATTTTATTTTATGTTATTTGTGGCTAAGAGTTTAGAATACCAAATCTATTTTTTAATGAATCACAAAAATGACAGTTGTGAATATTAGAAATAGAAAAAGCTAAAATTCATCTGTTTTATATTTGTTAGTGTGGGAGTTTTCACTCCAGTATGCTCTCACTCAAGTTTTTCTTTGAATCTAATTTTAAATGTCTTCAGTGAAGGGATTTGCTGTAAATCCTCTGGGGACTATTTCAAAATCCATAACTCATGGTAAGTCATTTCTCTGAATGCTTAGCTAAATGTTTGATTTCTTAATGTTTTATCAAATGTCTGTCACTTATAAATGTGTGCTATGTTAAATAATAACTTTCTTTTTACTGTGTACAAGGTTCAAACCTATGGTTGATGT